AGAATTTGTGTGCCACCACCGCGGTGCACGGTTCAGTTCTTTGCCAGTGACATTGACAGTAGAACGATTGGAGGATGTCTGACATTTCATTTTGCGTCATTTGTTGTATTTCATTCTTGTCGCCACTCATGACTCCAATTTGTGTTTAGACCTAGCTGCCTAGCTTGAGCCACACCTGGTGCTGAGGAAGGACAAAACCCACACGGTTCACATGCGAAACCGCTGGTTGGGCATCAACCGAAACTCCCAGATGGAAGTGCATTTGGCGACAGTTCGGTCAGCTATACCACACCGAGCGGACCGCAGGGGGGGGAATTCGGTCTGATGCTTTTTCGATACTTTTATCATTTCGGATTTGGTTGGCAGTGCCGATGCGTTCTCCAAACTAGTCTACACAGGATGCAGATTTGGGCATATTTATTTGTCAAGGCTGCTGTTTTTGAGCAAACCAGCATACACGATTCGGCTTTGGGTCAAAACCAGGATACCTTGGTTGACCTCCCCATTTGAGCATTTTGGCTGGGAGTTTGCAAGTAGCCAAGGCCCAAGCCTGGGTCCACTTGTTGGGTACATTCTAGCAAAGCTGTTGAGTGAAGTCGTTCTCTTTGAGCATTGCATGTGGGAGTCATTGGATACTCAAGGCTTAAGTCACTTAAGTCCATTGTTTGCAGACTATTGATGAAATGTCCTCACATAGACCATCTTCCTGAACATTCTTCACAGTGTTCACTATATTATCTATAATGTTGGATGCTGATTAGTAATAGGGCCCTGAATAATGCAAAATTTTTGAACAAACATCTTGACATCATCTTTGTTTTAAGGGTTCTCTATTATGCTATTTTTTTGTGGGGAACCTATCTTTTTTATAATCTGAAAAATGAGATGTTCAAACCTGCGGAGATCTGTGAATACTACTAATCCAATAGCTGGCTTGCTGAGAGATTTATGGTAATCATAGGTTTCTTTGGTTCTTCAAAACTCACAGCTTCCCAAACCCATCAATTCCATAATCAAACCTTTGTATAAAGATTGCTCCTAAATAAAATTCAAGGTAATAGACCAGGAAGGCCCCTGATCCTCAATAATAAATTTGTTTTAAGGGTTCTCAATTGTGCAAAGTTAGATCTCAATACTACTAAGCCAATGGCTGGCTTGCTGAGAGTATTATTGCTGAAGATCTGAGACTGCAAAGGAAAAGGATTGCTGAGAATATCTAATGACAAAGAACCTCAGAGAGGAACATGAATACTACAATCAATTACAAAAGGACTCCTCCTAGGAACCCAGATTTGTTTCGGTGGTAGTCTATTATAGAGGATCCTCCATTTGTTTGAGGGGACCCCCCTTTACTAATCAAGATCCAGCATTATTGGATATTTTGGCGATCAGACACAATTATGTTTTTGTATTGCAGAATTTCACTCATTGTCATTGTCGCAGTCTTTCATGCGCCAGCAGGATTGGATTTTCATTCCACCGACGGTGCTGGACGGTGTTGGTCTTGATGCGTCGACAGGCTCCCACAACTTGATTCTAGCAGCAACATTGAAGAACACTCACATTTGCCAATCGTTGCATTTTGGGGCGATATTAGAGAAGCGATTGCGATCCATGCATCTCTGTAGCACATAGATTCACCAGCTTTTGAACTATATGATCAATGCATATCAATGATCTGTAACATAGGATAGGCCAGATGATAGTCAAAACTGTGCAACTGTTTGACTATGTAATTAATGGCATTTGTTGATTTAGACAATTAGTTGTTGTTTGCCACAGCTACGAGACAGGTCAATGGGACTTGCATGCAGACTTGCAGTTGATGGACACCATAAGTGGGGCGCTTGCAACTGGCGGCCATATTATTTTGAGCATCATGGCGACCTGTTTGATTTACGGCGCTCGTGGCATCCTCCTAGATTGTCTACGAGTCTACTACACTATACAATTACTGTATTGTGAATTACTTGTGCCTGCTACTGAACTCAAGAAGTACTGCGCATGCTTCCAGTGGTAAGGCTCTCTAAGTTGACATTACAAAATATTTTTTTTGTGAAAGGATACCACATCTTCTTCCCATAATATAGCGTCCACGAGTTGCCATCCTCTGCCGGAATTCTATTGTGGGCCACTGTACTTGTAGAATTCTTACGAGAGAGTTGAGTAGTCTCTGCATTATGACTGTCCTGTTTGCTGGTAAACTCGGTCCCCCCTAGCAAATTAGGGAGAGTGAATGGAGTCAACCCCATCAAGACAATCTACTGTAGCTGTAGTAGCAGTAGTAGTAGTAGTAGTCGTAGTGGTAGTAGTCGTAGTAGTCGTAGTAGTAGTAGTAGTTGTAGTAGTAGTCGTAGTAGTAGTAGTTGTTGTAGTAGTAGTAGTAAGTATAAGTAGTAGTAGTAGTAGTAGTAGTAGTAGTAACTAGTAGTAGTAGTAGTAGTACTACTACTAGAAATTAGTAGTAGTATTTTTTTACTAGTAGTAGTAGTAGTCTTAGTAGTAGTAGTAGTAGTAGTTGTAGTAGTAGTAGTAGTAGTATTAGTATTAGTATTAGTAATTAGTAATTAGTAATTAGTAATTAGTATTAGTAATTAGTAGTAGTAAATAATTCGTAGTATTTTATAGTTAGTAGTGATATTTAATTAGTAGTAGTATATAGTTAGTAGTAGGATATAATTAGTAGTAGGATTTAAGTAGTAGTAGTAGTAGTAGTAGTAGTAGTAGTAGTAGTAGTAGT